CTGGACCACTGGCCTTTGCGTTGGCAGCACAAAGAACACATTTGCTCCTTGGACAGGAGCAGAAGATACAACTGGAAATTGTAGGATCACTATCCCATCAGGATGAGTCGGATCCTGATTCCACATTTCCCTTCATAAAGTCCAGCTTCTCAAATTATTTGCTGAACAGGTATGGAGAAAGGATACAGCCCAACCAGGCAATGTTCCTTCTCTCTGTTCAAACAACCACCTCTTGGTCTGCGTAAGCACAATTAAGTGTCTGGGATTCCCATTTTTCTCAATGTCAGCCATCATTTGGGTTGAGCTGGTTGTTTTGCTTAACCCACACTATCAATAAAATCGAGACATCCTTCTGGTATTCTGTATTCTAAAATATAGACATGCTTCTGGTATTCTCTTTCTGCCAAGATCCATCTGACATCAGCAATGATATCCCTGGTGCCACAGGCTCTCCCAAAGGCGCCGTGAACTTCTCTAAGTTCTGTCGATGTACTGTTCTAGCCATTTTTTAAAATCTTCTCAAGATTTTACTTGCATGTGATATTAATGTTGTTGTTATGTGCTGTCGAGTCACTTGCGACTCACAGCAACCCTATGTACAACAGCCCTAAACTCTGCTCTGTCCTGTGTCAATCGCACTGTCTCCGACACTCCCATCCCAATTATCCCAGTCACTGAATCAATCCACCTCACAGAGGGTCTTCCCCTCCTGCTCTGTCCCTTCAGCCTCCCAAGCATGATGTCCCTCTCCAAGGACCGGTCCCTCCTTACAACATGTCCAAAGTATGTTAGACGGAGCCTCAGAATCCTTGCCTCCAAGGAGCCACCTGGTTTAACCTTTTCCAGGATGTATCTGTTTGTTTTCTTAGTAGTCCATGGTACTCTCAATACTCTTCTCCTGCACCACAGCTCAAAGGCATCAATTCTCCTTCTATCCTCCTTGGTCATTGTCCAACTCTGTGATGCATAACCAGTGACTGCAAAGACCATGACCTGTATCAGACGCACCTTAGTCTCCAGAGTGACACCATTGCTCTTCAGTACCCTGGAGAGGTCCCTAACAGCAGACTTTCCCATGGCAATACGCCTTTTAATTTCCTGGCTACTGGTGCCAAGAGTGTTGACTGTGGAGCCAAGCAAACTAAAGCTCTGTTTGATAATCCACATTCTGTTGGATCATCTTTTTTGGGAATGGGGAACAAGTAAGGGGTAGCTTTTCTTCCATATTTCCTAGCACAGACTGGTGAGCACATCCAAGGCTGCATCTGTTTCTGGAAACATGTCCATAGTATCCCATCAATCCTTGGAGCCTAATTTTTTTTTCCTAACACCTTCAGTAAAGCTTTAACTTCTTCATTCATCAACAATTTGTGTTATGTACATGACATGATCTTGCTTACTGAAAGCGAAGAGGACTTAAAACACCAGCTATAGAAGATCAAGGACCAAGGGGAGCTCTGGTGGCCTAGTGACAAGAAACTGTACTGCAATCCCAGAGGAACACGGTTCGAATCCACCAGACGCTCTGCCGGAAAAGGAGGCGCAATATCCTCCTGTACCAGTCAGATCTGATTTGACGGTACACGCACACAAAATAATAAAAATTTAAAAAAAAAAAAAAAAAGGAAGATCAAGGACCACAGCCTTCATTGTGCATTACATCTCCAAATGAAAAAACAAGGATCCTAAGTGAGCCCTGGCGGCCTAGTGGCAAGAAGCTACACTGCAAATCCCAAGGTGTGCAGTTTGAATCCTCCAGATGCTCCACTGGAGAAGGGTCAATCTCCTCCTGTGCCAGTCGAATCTGATTTGACAGTACACAACAACAATAAAAAAGTAAAAAAAAAAAAAAAAACCAACAAAAAACAAAACACCACTACAACAACAAAAAAAAAAACCAACCCAAAGATCCTCACCACTAGGCAACATCATAATAGATGAAAAAATACTGAAGTTGTCACCTTGCTTGGATCCATAATCAACACTCTTGGTACCAGGATTCAAGAGATCAGAAGACATGTTGCATTAGGAAAATCGGCTTTCAAGGACCTCTCCAAATTTCTGAAGATCAACGATGTTAGTTTAAAGACAAAGGTGCGCCAGATTTAAGCCATGGTCTTTTCCATTACTTACTTCAAATGTGAAAGTTGGACAATGAATGAGGATGGCAGAAGAAGAATCAATGCCTTTGAGTTACAGAGTTGGAGAAGAGTATTAAATATTCTATTGACAGACTGCCAAAGGAACAAAAATGTGTATTTCAGAGACAGTGAAACTAGGGTGCTCCTTGGAGGCAAAGAGCTTCATCTCACAAACTCTGGGCATACTGTTACGAGGGGCCAGTCTTTGGGAAAGGATATCATGTTTAAAAAGGTGGACTGTCAGTGTGAGAAGACCTCAGAGAAGTGGACTGACACAGTGGCTGTAACAACAGGATCAAGTATATTAGAGATGTGAGAACGAGGATGATACGGGTTACACAGGATGACAAAGGAGATGAGGATGGGGTGAGGCTCATTTCTGGTGTCCACAGCATCACTACATGAACCCATACAGGTTCCCTTACAACAACTACAACATCAGGATAGAGAGCAAGAAGGCAGAAGGTATTTGCTATCAACTGGAAGAGATCTACATTTGCACCTATTCCCAAGAAAGGTGATCTAACAGAATGTGGAAATTACCGAATTATCATTAATATCACATACAAGTAAAATCTTTCTGAATATCATTCAAAAATGACTAGAAACAACAGCAAATGGCTAGAAACAGTATAACAACAGAGATATGTTAGAACTCCAGGCTGGATTTAGAAGAAGTTGTAACAATAAGGAACATCATTGCTGATTTCAGATGGATCTTGGCAGAAAGCAGAGACTATAAGAAGAATGTCCATTTATGTTTTATTGACTATGCAAAAGTATTTGATGGTGTGTATCATAACAAATTATAGCTTACCGACACTGAGAAGAATGGGAATTCCAGAATACTTCATTATGCTCATACAAAACTGATACCTAGACCAAGAGGACATGGTACATACAAACAGAGCAAGGGAATACTGCATGGTGTAAAATCAGAAAAGGTGTGCATCAGGGCTGTATCCTTTCTTCATACTTCTTCAGACTTTATATTGAGCAAATAATTTGTGAAAAGAGACCATGTGAAGAAGAATGTGGCATCAGGACCATAGAGAGACTCACCAACAACCTGTGTTATGCAGGTGACATTCTTCTCAATGTTATAGTTTGTTATGATCCACACAGTCAAGTATCTTTGCATAGTCAATAAAACAGACAGACATACTTCTGTTCTTCTCTACTTTTAGCCAGGAGCCATAGGACATGAGCAGGATATCCCGAATACCAAAGCCTCTTTTACACCCAACCTGAACTCTGGCCAATCTCCGTCAATGAACATCTCCAGATGTTCTTCCAGGTGATTGTAATGATTCTGTTCAATTATTTCCACATTCTGTTGGATCAACTTTTCTTGGGAATGGGAACAAATAGGGGTCTCTTCCAGTCAGTTGGCCAAATAGTTGTCTTCCATATTTCCAAGAAAATCTGTCACCAGTAGTATATCGAAAAGCACTCTGTATTTGCAACAGAAATCTCTGAATCTGAGTTCCACTGCTGCCCACGACATAACCCTTCATAAGGTGTTTCACTGCCCTGTAAAATCTCCCCCACAATGAGAGTGAAACATCTCCCTCATTGAGCTCACAGGAGGACCTGACAAGATGACACAGCAAAGGGCCTTCTAGCATATACGACCTTCCTCTTGCGGTAACAGACTCGGATCAGTGCCATACTTTGCTAAAAGGCATTCCCTTTTAGCACATTCCACATATTACTGTTTAAGGTCCAAGAAAAGACCAAGGAGGAAAGCACTGTGCACTTCTTGGGAAAATATCAATAACAATTAAACAGACTGATGTATTATGTTACCATTTTACTACACAGAATTCAGAGGAATCATTCCTACTGAACATGTTTTGAATATATTGTTCTTCACTTTCCCAGGGCTTATTCTAGAGGACCTTATTAAGTGCAAACTCTCTAAACTGACATTTCTTTTCTTGCCTATTTTCCTATCTATTGTAAAGATGGCATCTCCCTGTTTATCTATTAGAAAGAAGATAATCTTTCAAGAAAAGACACATTGTCTTTTAAGATTGGCATTGTTTTGTGTGTGCTGGAAATACTTACCAATGGAATTCTATCTCTTCTTCCACCTGCTTCCTAGGAACTAAGATTCCTGACACTACTGAGCCCTGTTCTGACATAGGTTGTAACTAATCCAGAGAAGGACACTATCATCTTCAGGAACCAAAAGCAGGGTCAAAGATAAAGACCAGCCAGAACCAGGAGAAGGGGCACCTCTCCACAGGTCAACTTTCAAGGATCTCACAGCAAGATTAAGTTTTGATGGCAGATCATATAAGCTGGGATTAAAACCAACACTCCAGGTCAAATTTCTTTTCTCAAGAAAGCTTGAAAAGATCTTTTCTAAAATCTCCACCAAATCCACCTAATCTCATAGAAAATAATCTCTTTCACCAGAGGTTAAAACATCTGCCACAGACAGAAAGAAGCTTCTACTTCTTTCTCAGGAGGGAAGAAATGAGTCAAAGTGAAGTGTTTCCTTCCAATAATTGCATAGTAGCACAAATGGAGAGAGGATGTACGGAAATGAAAGAGCAAATATAGCTGTCAAACAGAAATTTAGAACTTAAAGATATTAATAAAAAGGAAGCTTCTCAACCTGCTGCCAGACCCGGCCAGCAGTTACAGCCAGCAGCTCTGATGACCTCATTCCTGACAGCAGAAAAGGGCATTTGGTCCAGCTGGACTCGTGCCTCATTCTCCTCTAAAAGCTACATACCCCAAAGAGAGGGTTTGATATGGCCCCCAAAATCCCCCCAGCAGGGCCACTGATCTGACTCCACCCTGCCTCTCAGTGGATCCAATCTTGCTTGTGGGGTCTTTGGCTCCTACCTGGGTCCAACTTCGGCCGAAACCAGATCTCCAATGGCCAAAGCTATCAGATAGGAGGGGATGGGGTGACACATCTGGAAGAAGAACTTATTTGGACCTCTCTTCTCCCAGGTGTTAGCACTCATCACAGCTGTGAAGCCATCTGGGACCTGACAACAGAGAAAGCTTAGGAGATCTCACCTGGAGAGAATCTCCTTTACATTAGCTTGACCTGCAACCTGTGGTGGGTGACAGTCATCCAGAGACAAGGTGAGGAACACACAGGTTTTAAGAAACTTTGTTTGGTCTGGGCAGTTACAGTGACCTTGGTGTTTCTGACAGGTCCCGCATTATGGTCTAAGAAGTATTGTTCATATCATTCTAGGAGCCTTTTTACCAAGCCTCCTCCAGTGGAACAGAAGAACAACAATCCAGGATCTAAGCACAATACTGATATGAAACTGTCTACTCTTCAATGACAGGAATATTTCTATTTTTACTTAGTGATAATTTGTTCATTATTAACCAGTTTAATATATGTAACTTTTAACCATTTTAATATATGTAACTGTGTATGCTGTAACTTGGTATAAATATCCATGTTTTTAGTAGTATTCAGTATTTTAGAAACAGAAAAGGAAAGAAACTTCATCTGTGCTACACTAATAGGAGGAGGCTATATGCAATTTCTTTACGTGGGGAGTATCTGGGAGGAAAGAGTTTTATTTTCCCCTCCCTGGAATGATGTTATGATTTACCAAATGGAATGTAGATCTAAAATTAATAATCCCAAGAGTAGGCACATCTAACCTTAGTCCCCTTACCTCAATGAGGGCTGAATATTTGTATTTCACTGCAGGAGTGTCGAAGCAAGGGAAGAAGGCCCGGTTTAGCACGGCTTGACCTTGGGTATAGACAAAGGGCTTCTTCTTTCCTGCTGTCTGCTCGGGAGTCAACCAGCACACCTAAGGGGACAGAACACGTCAGATCTGACACCTCCATGGGATTGGCCCTCAGAGAAAAGGAGCCCACTGGTATGAGAGAATTTCAAGTTAGCGACAATGAGGAGGTTCTCTCCTACAACTCATAGGGTAGAGCTACCACCAAGGGCCAGGTCCTCACTGGTTCCCAAAAGTTATCTCAGGAATTCCAGAGCTGGCCTCTGACTCTGACATTCTGTTTTTCCCCAAAACACAAAGATGGAAGTAACTCTCTGTGAACGTGTGATAGATATAAAAGACACAAGATACATGGAAAAGCAGAACTTGATAAGAGGTGCTAGCAAAGGAGAACTTGACAGACAAGAATCAAAGGCTGATGCACATTCTAAAATCGCTGTAACTCCTCTTTTGGGAAGAGATATACTGGGACTCTTAATCGGTTTGCTGATAGCCCTTAAACCAAGGGCAAATCTTAAAAGATGTTAGCTCAGACAGAACTGTGCTATAACTGTCTTAGTATATATGAGGATCAAATGGCATTTATTTAGAAAAGGATTGGATTATTCCACAAAGAGGTTTCATCAAAACAGTAAAAAATGAGCCTTCAAAAACAAGCAGGATTTAAATGTTGGAAAGAACAGGCCGTCTTCAGAGGAACTCGATGAAGGACAAGTGACAGAAGTGGGCTCTGCAAAGTGGACAGGTACAACAAAGGGCCCAGGACACCACTGCAAGTATCTGAGACCAATTTTAAAAGGCTTGGAAGCCACAGTGGGATGCTAGGTTTTTCTTTGCTGGAGTTGTTATGCTTGTGCAGTTGTGTGAAAATTATGGTGAGTAGCTTCCAAAGAATACCACAGGGAAAACAGAATTTAAAAAGCAACTCCAAAGGAGCTCTGGTGGCCTAGTGGCAAGAAGATGCACTGCAATCCCAGAGGTGTGTGGTTCGAATCCACCAGATGCTCTGCTGGAGAAGGCGGGGCAGTCTCCTCCTGTACCAGTCAGATCTGATTTAACGGTACACACACACAAAATGACAAAATAAGAAAATAAATAAATAAATAAAAAGCAACTCCAAAACTACGTGATCAAGGTCGACATCTACAATCCTGAATCAGCTTGGTAGTACGTACCCTTGAAAGGATGTATTGAATATGGTACTCTTTCCTCTGTGATAAGCTCCTCAAAAACTCACAAACTCAGTTTAATCTTAGGGGAAAATATCAGACAAATTCCAGGTGAAGGGTATCCTCTACAAGAACCTGCCTCGCTCTCGTCCAGAATAGAGCTCTGGGGCCCTACGTGGTAGGGGGCAGCATCTCTGGTGACTGGAATCCAGACGCTCCACAGGAGAAAGATGGGGCAATTGCCTCCCATTCAAGTCACAGCTAAAGGACTGGCCATGAGCTGCCTGCAACTCCACAACAATGAGTTAAGAAGTTACTTAGCTCTCCTTAAGGTCAAACAAACTCTGGAAAGTCTGAAAAGCTATCATAGCCAAAAAAGTTGAATGAGATATGACAGCTAAATATGTTATATTTATACAAATTTAACGCCTCTGAAAACCCGCTGGAGGGTGAGCTATGGTTCGGTTTAGACTCTACAGTACACAATAACAACATTTAATATAAATATAAAATAGAAATATATGGACTGGATCCCAGAATAGAAAGATATTAAGTAAAAACTAAGGAAACTGGATAAATGATAACATCAGTTCACTAACTATAACACATTTCATACTAATGTAAAATGCTAATATGGGATGCTGTGTATATGTATGTACATGAGACTATGGAACTTGGTACTATCTGTTCAACTTAACGCTGTTTGAGGAGAGAAAAGACAGTCAACTATCAACTTACAAGTTGAGTCAATTCCAATTCCTGGTCACCCGTGAGCACTGAAGTGGAACTATGCTTCACAGTGTTTTCAATGGCTGATTTTTTCAGAAGCAGATCATCAAGTCTTTCTTGAAAGCTGCCTCTAGGCAAACCTGAGCCAGTCTTTTAGTTAACAGTCAGGCACATTATTTCTTGGCACCAACCAAGGATAAAGTCTATTAACTAAAACTTAATCTTAATGGGCTGACACTAAGGACTAACACCTATACAATCTTCTATAATCTCTTAGCAAGTTGTTGTGTTATGTCTTGAGTCAGACCTGACCCTCAGCAAGTTTTCAGAAGCAGTTACTCCCATGGGAGGAGACCACCCATCCTTCTCCCATGAAGGAGATGGTGAATTTGAACCACATGCCTTGAGACTGCAGTGCTAAGTTCTTAAAAGGACACAGGATCCTATCAGGTGATTTATATAAAGACATTTATATAAATGACAAGCACTGGACTAGGGAGGGGGTGGCCCGTGATAACAAATTCTGGCTAGCATGCCTTCCAAAAGCCCTCAGGGCAGTGAGTTATGTGTAGGGCAGCTAACAGAAGGGCCAGCTGTTTGATCCTCCAGCTGCTCTGCCGGTAGTTTACTCCCATTAAAATGTACAGTCTTAGGAAAGGGATGGCTTAGTTCTACTGTCTACAGGGTCACTGTGAGTTGGAATCAATCTGACTACAGTGGGCTTTTGTTTTGTGGGATTTTTTTTGTAGGGAGGGCAGATCATCTCCTCCATCATAATTCTTTACTCATTATTTTTGTTTATGTTTTTTAAGGCACAATAGAATAAAATGAAGTGAAGGAAGGAGCCTGGTTTTATGTACGTTACAGAGTTTGAAGTCAAGTAGAGGCTGTTACATTATGGAGTTTGAAGTCAAGTAGACGCTGTTACATGTGAGTAAAGTGACAATCTGGAATGATGACAGACTGGGATGGTATGGTGTCAATGAGAAGAGAGGAAGAAGCACAAGTGTCATTAATGCAGCCATTTGTGGGCCAGTAAATCTCAGTCTATCTGATGCTTCATTTGAGGGGAAGTTACTTGAAAAGGCAAATTCAGGAAGGGCTTAATTTTTACAATCCTCTTTTGAATTTTTCTCAACACTTAAACTCCCTGCTGTTCAGTCAGTTCTGACTTATATGTAAACCTTCATCAAGGTTCCACAACTCAACTCTGTCTCCTGAGGACAGTGGATCAAAATTGTCAGAGATAAGCAGTGCAACTCCCTAGAGACTATGCCATAAACCAGGAACTAGGGAGCTCTGGTGGCCTAGTACTCAGCACTGCAATCCCAAAGGCACGTGGTTTGAATCCACCAGCTGCTCTGTGGGAGAACGATGGGCAATCTCCTCCCGTGTCATCAACTGCCTCTGAAAACCCTCTGGAGGGTCAGCTATGGATTGGTTCCGACCCAATGGTACACAACAAGAATATAGCACAGTAGCCAACCATTTCCAGGTTTACGTTAACCGTACAGAAACTCACTGTCCTGGGTTTGGAACTGCCTCATAGCTGACCATCTAATGGACGTCTGAGGCTGTAAATCGTGAGGACACAGCCCACCTTTTTTCTGAACTGTCAGAAAGACGCCACCTTCAGTTTAGCAGTGCACCACTCTATGAACCAGACCCCCAGGGCTCCCATAGAGCACTGGGTTTTTCTTTTATCTCTGAGAATCCTTTTTCCATTTGGATTTTCATATTTTAAAAAACAATTAACTTTTTTTTTCATCCTTTGCCATGAGACCAGAAAAACAAAATGGTACCAGCTACTGTTACTATTTTGATCAAAGATTCCACAGAAAAATAATGGAATCATGTAATTTTAAAAAGACTCCAGACATCTTAGACCCATAAAGGTTAGGTAAACCCCTGAAACTATTGCCCTGTGATAATCTTTAAACCTTAAACCAAAAATATCCCCAGAAATCGTCTTAAAACTAAACAACAGTCTAGCTTAACTCATTTAAAAAACACCTGAAAAAAAGTCTGACTTGAGCAACTTTTAATATCTACTGGAGATCAAAGTGGCAACAGCAATTTCAAAGATTAAACAGGAGCTTGAAGGGTAGTGCATTTAGGTTAATTAAGAGAAACACCTCTGAAAAGAAGAGTTAGAATGACTAAATTTCAAGCATGTTCAGTCCATCACTAAAAGGCACATGCAAGAAACACAAAGTTATGCTGTGTACACTCCTAAAAACAATAAATAAAATTACTGTGTTAAGAAAAAAGAACTAATCACAATTTCCATTTATTATATCACTGGTGAAAACAGAAACGCCCTTTGAGCCCATTCTAAGAATAAAGAGGAACTGCTGCCCAGTTAAGCAGGTTTCCAATCACAGGCAAGCAGTGAATTATGAAATCTACAACCCACTAAGAGGTGCTGCCTAAGGTCTCTCTATGAAGGATTTTCTGACTGATTCTTACAGATACAGGCTGAAGAACTTTTCCATCCCCTTATTTGAAATATCTGCCTCTCTCACACACAGATTTAAGTTCAGCCAACAGTGAGAAAATCAGGTCAGAAAGCTTAAAACACCAACACCAAACTGATCCCATCAACTTCTGCTGACCCCATAAGGCAGACTAGAACTGCCCCAGAGGGCTTCCAACGATGGGAATCCTCAACAGCAACCTTTGCAATGTCTACTGGGTTGTGACTACTACGGAGAAGAATGCCCACTTTGGCCCACATGGAGCCCCACTTCATCTCCACCAGTCAATTACAGCTCACTGGACTCCGCCACTCTTTATCAAGCCTCACCCTCCACTCATTGCCAGAGTCCATTCCAAGGCGTAGTGACCCTCCAACAAGTTTCTATCAAATAAATCTTGATGGGAAAAGACTGTCCAACTTGCCCACACGACCCACCCAACCCTGTCCCCTGCCCCGCAGAGCAGCTACTGATGGATTTTCGTGAATTCCACAATATGAAAAGAACTAGTCAAAAAAATTAAAAAAAAAAAAGAAAAGAACTAGTCACCAGAGTTCTTGTACTCAAACTCTTTAATGTCAAGCTGAAAGGAAACAGTCCATCTTTTCTCCACAGGAGCAACAGATGGATTCGAATCCCCACATAGAAAGCCTGTAAGAACCACAATTCATTGCCATCGACTCTGAACCAACTTCCAGCTGACCCTTCAGTGGGTTTACAAAAGCTCTAAAATACACAAGATTGCCCATCTCTCTCCCACAAAGCAGCCCACGGACTGACATGGGTCAGCAGCACAACTCCCTAACATGATGTCAGAATTCCCCCTTATTGTTTGCTTGGGGTTTTTTTTTTTTTTTCTCTTTTTTTTTTAATCCATTGTTTTCCTATTTTAAGTGTGGTGGGGCCAGGTATGACTCATAGCAACCCCATTAAAACTGATGTGAAGCCTCTCCTATCCCTGTGCCGTCCTCACCATCCCTCACACAAAGTTTAGCACTTTGCAATTCCAGTTTTCACTTCTAATTCTTTGTTGTTAGGTGCCGTGGAGTATGACTCATAGCGACCCTATAAACAGCCAACCCAAACCTGTCCTATGCTGTGCCATCCTCATCATCTCTGACACACTAGAGCCCCACTGCTTAAGCCACTGCGGCAATCCAGCTCGTTGGAACATCCTAATTCAGTTCTCACTTGTACTTGAAATCTTTCCCTTACTCACTGCCAGGCAAAATGGAACAGACCTTCCTTTTGGCCTTTTTTTTTTTTTTTGAGCTCGAAATTATTCAGGACAAGTGTTCATCTTTCTAACAGATTCCAACCATTACTGTGACTGCCTTGACCTGCAGGTCAGCAGAGCCACTCTCGACCCCCTAAATCGCCACAGCTTCCTACTTCCGTTCTCATTCCTACTCGCTAATTCTTTTGCTCATCTAACTGGGACTTTCACACGTAGAAACACAAAAACCTGGGTTTCAGAGTTGTTTTAACCCGGAGAATTAAAAGACTACATTGAGTCAGCATCCCACATTGTCCAGGGCTGCTGGAAAGCAGAATGAAGGTGCTCACCGATGCATCAGAGACCCCAAAAGGCCTCAGTATTCAGTATTAAGCTGGATGTGTGTGGAATTGGTTATCTAGAGAAAGGAGGGGGGTTATTTTCTACAGCAGGAACTGGAAACCAAACCTGATTTCCAGCTGGGGTCTGGGGTAAGAGGGCTCCTGGATTAACTCAGACCAGCCTGGGAGGGCAGGAGGACAGAAGCAAAACCTGATAGCCCTAAAAGAAACAGGGTCGCCGAGCTTGCACTAGGGCCCCGGGGGTGAACACGAGCAGGAGAAGCAGGGAGAGTGAGGTCTGGGAACGCGGGGCGCACTCACCCCGGGTCCCTTTGCGACGCGGTAGGTGAACTGCACCAGGAAGCGGTCACCAATTCGGCAAGGCTGTGGCAGCGCCACGCACAAGACCTGGCCGTAATGGGAAAAGGGCCGAATGGAGAAGGACACAGGCTCCAGGGGCAGGTCCTCCCCGTCCGGCCGGAGCCAGCGCAGCGCCGCCGCCGTCACCTCCAGGCAGGGGTGCGAGTCCAGCAGCAGCTCGGGGCTGCCCTCCTCCAGGCACCGCAGCTCCAGGCCCGCGGAGCCGCTAAGACCCCGGCTTCCTGGGCCCGGGCCCGGGGGGCCAAACTCGGCCCGCAGGTTCAAGTGTAAATGCAGCATCTCGAAGGCACGGAAGCTGGATCCTGAGGCCACATCCAGGGCCTGAGCTGAATGCAGCGGCCGCCGGCGCGAAGGTCCACCACTCGCCATTTTCGTGCGCGCCAGACAGAGAAAGCCAAGTGGGGGTGAAGGAGGGCGCATGGAGGCCACGCCCGGGGCTCTGCGCCGCTGCAGTCGGCACCCTCACAAACACCACGCCTCCGGGAGGCTGGGTCGCTCTAATGCCCAGGCCTTTTCATTGATGTTAGGTGCCTGTCCTGCGCCAGCCTTGCTGTCTGATAGGCCCACGCCCGGGGGCACAGTGTCACTCCCTCTTGTAATGGGTCATCTTGTTCTCGGACCTCTCTACCTTTCCTGGCATAATAGTTCCCTCCCCCCCCACCCCCCAATTGGCCTTTTCTGACAACCTGCTCAAAGTATTTAAGAGGAAGTTTCACCATTCTCACCTCTAAGGAGCACTCTTGACCTGTTCATTCTTTGGACAGTCGAAGGCATATAAAGTACTCTTCTCTAATACCACAATTCGAAGGCATCGATTCTGTTGTCATCATTATTGGGGCTCCAGCTTTCTCAGCTAGTAGGACGGTGTGACCTTGGGTTAGTCACTGCATTCTTGTGAACCTCCTTTCGCATCTGTAGAGCAAAACAACAGTAATAAAATAACTTTAAAAAAAACAACAACAAACCAACCCACACCAAAAAATAAAATCTGCTTGAGTCCGTTTGGACTCGCAATGACCATGCAAGATAAATGCTGGAAAGAACGTCCTTATTTTGTGTGTCTTGTAATTAATGTCAAACCAAAATGAGTATGAACGGTTGAATGGGAAAAGCAATATGCTTTTTAAATTTTCACTCAAATCACAGTAAAAAAAAAATTTAAAAGAACTACGTGTGGTGCATCAGATGGATATTATAGAAAACCAACCTTTTATAATACAGTGCTATGAAACTATCATTTTATAATAATGAAGGCAAAACATTAACTTTCTGTAATTTCTGTTTCTTTCAGGAAACTCCTGCCCACACTTCCTATTTTCTGTTATTGTTATGTGCAGTTGAGATGACAGTGACCCACTGCGACCCTGTCCACCAGTACATAATAAACCTTCCATTCTCTACTCTAATCCTGTCTCTCAGGTTGGTTTTCGGTGACAGGAGCCTGATCCAAATTTTTGCTTTAACATAGGGTTTGCAAGGCAATAAATCTTTACCGAAGCAGACTGCTGAACTAGAACCAACCTCTTCATTTTCAGAGATACTCTTAACTACTATGTCACCAAGGCTCCTTACCTATAGTAAACTGTGTTTCATGAGGTATTTGTAAGAATTCAACCAGGTAATGAACACACTTGGTAAACTGCAAGACCCTCTACAATTGCTTCTCTCTGGAGGCTTAGTGGTAATGAGCTAGCTGCATTGCCATCTCAAAGGCACACTGTTTGAATCCATCATCTTCTCTGTAGGAGAAAGATGGGCAATCAACTCCTGTGAGATTTACTGTTTCTGAAAACCAGCTTGAGGGTCAACTATGGGTCAGCTCTACTCCATGGTACATAACAGGTACCAATACAATTGCTTGGAATTCCACAAGTCTAGTACTCCAGGAGAAAGGATTGAGATTGTCAACGACTTCATCTTACTTGGATCTGCAATCATTACACTTGACAACAGCAATCAGGAGATCAGGACATGTACTACACCAGGGAAGTCTGCAACCAAGGACCTCTCTAAATTACTAAGGAGCAATGATGCCAGTGTAAGGACTAAGGTGTGCCTGATTCAGGCCATGGTCTTTTCAGTCACTTGCTATGCATCTGAGAGCTGGCCAATGACTGAGGATGATGGGGAAATTGACACCTGTGGTGTTGGAAAAGAGTGCTGAAGATCTCATGGACTGCCAAAAGAACAGATATGTCTCGTAGAAGGTGAAACCAGAGTGCTCCTTGGAGGCAAAGATGATGAAGCTTTGTCTTACAAATTTTGAGCATGTTGCCAAGAGAGGTTACTCCTTGGAAATGGACATCATACTTGGAAGGTGGAAAGATGGAGAAGGAGAGGAAGACCCTCAACTGGTTGATTGACACAGTGACTGCAGCAATGGGCTTGAGTGTGTAAGAGATTATGAGGCTATGACAGTATTCAGATCAGTTGTTCATAGGGTCACTCTGTGCTGGACTCGACACCACCTAATAATATTTCCATTTGTTCACAAAGGCACAGCAGCTATTAAATTATACAGTTTAATATTTGGTTGTCCATTTGTGCCATTTACATCTCCCTATTACATTGTTCAAAGCATTTCTACCCTAAACTTTGTTTCTCTTCTATGCCAGTGGGTCACAAATCCTTCCAGTGAAACCTTCCCAGAGAAAGGCAATTTATTATCTTTATAAAATATTTTTGTATTTGTGATACATCTCCTTTTAGTGTTATTTTCTTCCTGGGAATATAAGGAATCTCATTCAGATCATTTCTGCTTGTGCTTCTTTCCTGACGCCCACAGTGCCTGAGAAGTGGCCAGCACAGCTACTGCCAGCCTTCCACCATGCTGTCCTCCAGAAAGGATAGGGACGAACCTCACTTTCCCCTCTAAAGCACCTTCATTATTCACTCTCGAATGTTTAGAATGCAACATATCTTGTACTTCTCAAAAGAAGAACTGAAAACTTCCAGGATGGATGAAAGGGATGATCCCATGCATTTTATGTTATTAGTTTCTTTTTTAAAGCAAATGAAGTTGACTGAAGGATGGAGACTGTTGAGACATTGTCCATGATCATTGAATGAAACCGGCTGTTCTGCAGGGTCCCAAAACATGTATGGCTGCATCAGAATTGAAGATTGTAAAATAACACAACTGAATCAAAGAGCATTTTGGGGAATTAAAGGCAGAATATGAAGAAGGAAAAATTTGGCAGCAGTAGGTTCACAGTCTTGGCACCAGCAGCCAGAAAATTAAAAGATGCATTGCCATGGGAAAGTCTGCTGTTAGGGACCTCTCCAAAGTACTGAAGAGCAATGGTGTCTCTCTGGGGACTAAGGTGCGTCTGATACAGGCCATGGTCTTCGCAATCACTTGTTATGCATCAGAGAGTTGGACAATGACCAAGGAGGATAGAAGGAGAATTGACGCCTTTGAGCTGTGGTGCTGGAGAAGAGTATTGAGAATACCATGGACTGCTAGGAAAACAAACAGATTTGTCCTGGAAAGGGTTAAACCGGGTGGCTCCTTGGAGGCAAGGATTCTGAGGCTCCATCTAACATACTTTGGACATGTTGTGAGGAGAGACCGGTCCTTGGAGAAGGACATCATGCTTGGGAGGGTGGAGGGACAGCGCAGGAGGAGAAGGGCCTCTATGAGGTGGATTGATTCAGTGACTGGGATAATTGGGATGGGAGTGTCAGAGACAGTGCGATTGGCACAGGACAGAGCAGAGTTTAGGGCTGTTGTACATAGGGTCGCTATGAGTCACAAGCATATAACAACAAAACAACAACAACAGGTTCATAACACATAAATGGGGTTACACCATTCCTGGAAGGAGACAGGACCACTCTTTTTGGTAATGCATTCCCCCTCAGTCCTATCTGCAATTGTCCTATCTATAATCTACAAATCTATCTAATCTCACTACCCTGCAGGCACAAGTGGTTAAACCATACATCCACTTGTCTATAATAAAAAAGATCCTTAAAGAAGAGATTAGATATCCTATACCCAGCCCAGCCTCCCTAGAAAAACAATGTTGTCCTTAAGTGTCTCAAGTTAACACCAAGGTTAAAAGGACTGCCTTGGACATGCAGCTTCTAAAAAGCCAATTCAGATTTCAGACTCAAATCAAGATTTTCAAGTGGATTTAATACTCTCCTTTTAGACCGTCCTAGGTCTTTGCAATCACTTATGCATTCGAGAGTTGGGCAATGGCTAGGGAGGATAGAAGAAGAATTGATGCCCTTGAGCTGTGGTGCTGGAGAAGAATATTGAGGGTACTATAGACTGCTAAGAAGACAAACAAGTTCATCCTGAAGAGGGTTCAACTGGGCGGCTCCTTGGAGGCAAGAATCCTGAGGCTTTGTCTGACATACTTTGGACATGTTGTAAGGAGGGAATGGTCCTTGGAGAGGGACAACATGCTTGGGAGGGTGGAGGGACAGTGCAGGAGAGGAAGGCCCTCTATGAGGTGGATTGATTCAGTGACTAGGGTCGCTATGAGTGGCAAACGACTTGACGGCACTTAACAACTACAACAACAAGGGCTATATACCTTTCCTAGTATGGGGGTGGGATGGGGAACAGTGTAGTTAGAAGCTGGTAAAAGAGTAGTAATGCTAAAAGAAGCACCTACCTGCCTTGTGCCGATGACACAACTTTGCCCAAAGGCAGGCTGATCTGAAACACTTGCGCAGAAGGTTAAGGACTACAGCTTTCAATACAGATGTATCTCAACATCAAGATGACAAAAATACTCACCACTGGGTCAATAGGCAACATCTTGATAGATGGAGAAAGGATTGAAGTTGTCAACAATCTCATCTTCCTTGGATTCACAATCAATACCCTGGATACTAGCAGTGAAGAAATTAAAAGGCAAATTGCATTGGGAAAGTCAACTGTCAGTGACCTCTCCAGAATACTACAGACTAATGATGTTAGCTTACAGACTAAGGTGTACCTGATACAAACAAACAGTGGTGTTTTTTAATTACTTGCTATACATTTGAAAATTGGCAATGACTGAGGAAGACTGAAGAAGAATCTATGCCTTTGCCTTGTAGAGCTAGAGAAGACTCTTGAACATTTAATGGACTGCCAAGAGAACAGAGAAATTTTTCCTGGATGAAGTGAAATCAGGGTGTTCCTTGGCAGTACAGATGACAACACTCTGTCTCACACACTTTGGGCATGTTGTAAGGAGGGGTTACTCCTTAGCTTGGAATGGTAGAGGGTCAGTGTAAGAGAGACTCAATAAAGTGAACTGATGCAGTGTCTGTAACAATAGGCTCAAGTATTTTGGAGTTGATGAGAATGGCACAGGATAGGGAGAGCCATTGCCTCTCAACACAGGGTAACTTGTGAGTTATAGTGG